TGAAAGGTGTCAGTTCGAAGCTATTGATAGAAATGAAAGATGAGCATGGAATCTGTGCAGTTTCCTGCAGGGAGCTGATAGGAAATCCATCACTAAAGCTGGATTTCTCCACCAGTGTGTGGGTTTTTGGTACATAGAGTGGCTTTAATTTAAAAAAAATTTTTTTTTTTGGCTTTTTCCCTCCTGGTTTAATGGGATAAAAAAAGGAGAGGTGTATTGCCCCACTCATGAAATCTAAAAAAAATCACACTAACTGTGCCTGACATCCTCCCTCCCCCTTGGTTTTCTAACTCCTTAAAATGTACAGTTATTTGTCACAAGGGAGAGGTTTAATCTTTGGAAAAGGGAGAGGTAAAGCCCAAGGTAAAGGACCCGTGGGCTGAGGGCTGTTCCTATCAAGCTGGAGCTCGATCACCTTGTAGGTCCCAGCAAAGCCAGTGGAATATGAGTTTTCCAGCCTGTTCCCTAAAATTATCATAGAAAGTTTGAGTTGGAGAGGACTTTAAAGATCATCTATTCCCAGCCCCTCTGCCATGGGCAGGGACACCTTCCACTAGCCCAGGTTTCTCCAAGAATCCCATCCAACCTGGCCTTGGGACACTTCCAGGGATGGAGCAGCCACAAATTCTCTGTGGAGCCACAACTTCTGCCAGGGCCTCCCCACCCTCACAGGCAAAAATTTATTCCTACTATCTCATCTAAACTTCCTCTCTTTCAGTTTGAAGCCATTCCCCCCTTGTCCCGTAAACAGTCCCTCTCCATCTTTCCTGTAGCTCCTTCAGGCCACAATTAGGTCACCCCACAGCCTTCGTTTTCCAGGCTGAACCATCCCAGCTCTCTCAGCCTTTCCCCAAGCCTCAGTGCCAAATGGCAATGCTGCTTGAAGAGGAACAGCTGCTCTGAGAAGGTGACTCGTGGTGACACCAGCAGCTCCTGGGGAGGATCCATGGGCAGCCCTGTTCACAGGACACAACAGGAACTGATTGTCCCTTCAGAGGGAACACTGGAAATAAGGGAAATGAAGTGATCAGGGAAGGGTTGCTCACAGTTTCTCCCAAAATAGGAGCGAAGGACACTCAATGAAATTATCAAACTGCACAGTGCAGTAGAAAAAAAAATGAATTCTCCACTCTCGGTGTTATTTCTTTAAAACCATCACCAGAGGATGGTGCAAACCTCAGCAAAATAAAGCAGAGTGACCAGCAGGTCAAGGGAGGTGATTCCAGCCCTCTATTCTGCTCTTATGAGATCCCACTGGAGTGCTGGGTCCAGCTCTGGGGCCCCCAACACAAAAAGGACATGGAGCTGCTGAAATAAGCCCAGAGGAGGCCACAGAGCTGCTCCAAGGGCAGGAGCCTCTCTGGAGCCAGGCTGGGAGAGCTGGGGGTGTTCAGCTGGAAAAGAGAAGGCTCCAGGGAGAGCTGAGAGCCCCTTCCAGGGCCTAAAGGGGTTCCAGGAGAGCTGGAGAGGGACCTGGGACAAGAGCATGGAGTGATAGGATGTTTAGCCCTCTCCAAAGAACGTATTTGCCTTTTCATTACTCCTTAAACTTACTTCTTCTGAAGACCCAAGAGCCTCTGTTGATTAGTTTATCTCACTGGTACATTCCCAAAAGAGCTGTGTGTTTCTCCTGGAAGCAATTCTCACCTTCTCCCCTTCCCAGTCCTCCTCATGCTTCTCATGGCTTACTTGCCAAAATTCATTGGAGTAAAGTTACACGGTGGGTGGCCAAGGCAGTGGGAGAGGGGAAGGACCCTTCCTTATCCTCCCTCACAGGGTGCAGGAAGAAGAAAAAGAAAGCCCAAGAGGGAAGGCAGTCCCTTCCAGGATGAATGAGGGAATTAATTAAGGAATTTTGCAGCCTGAGGCCAGGACTAGGATATAATGGCAGGGTGGGAGCTACAAGTGTTCACAAGCTGTGTTGAGCTCAGAACTCTCCATGTTCGAATTGTTAAGGCTGGTAAAGAGCTCAGGATCACTGAGTCCAACTATTAACCCAACACTCCCGTGTCCCCCACCAAACCATGTCCTCAGGCGACACATGCACGTTGTTTTTGAACACCTCCAGGGATGGTGACACCACCACTGCCCTGGGTGGCCTGTTACAGTGCCTGACAACCCTTTCCATGAAGAAACTTTTCCTGATATCCAACCTAAACCTCCCCTGGTGCAACTTAAGGCCATTTCCCCTTGTCCTATCCCTTGTTCCCTGGGAGCAGAACCCGACTTTCCCAGCTCCCCCCTCCTGCCAGGGAGCTGCAGAGCCAGAAGGTCCCCCCTGAGCCTCCTTTTCTCCAGGTTGAGCCTCCCCAGCTCCCTCAGCTGCTCCTGCTGCTCCAGCCCCTTCCCCAGCTCCGTTCCCTTCCCTGGACACACTCCAGCCCCTCAATGACTTCCTTGCAGCCCAAAATTAACACAAAATTTCAGGTGCAACATTGTAACACCCTATAGGTAAGAACATCAATTTCCATGGGCTCCACCCTGCTCTTGCAAGGACAGATACAACAGAAACATCAATTAATACCCAATTAATGCCCACCCCCTCTCTGTGCATCCACTGTGACTCTGAAACATCACCTTAATTAAAAAAAACCCTCCCCCAAACTGCCATGGGCCCTCTGATTTCACGCATGCAATCCCCTCTACTTCAGAGGGATTACATGGATATTACGGAATTCAAGCCTGGGCCCCTTTAATTGTTTAGATAATTTGTAAACAGCTTTAAAGCACCACAGTGGAGCGTTTTTTAAACCAGGTGGAAAACCCTCTCCTGTTTCCCAATCACCTAAAAGAGAATTACTTACGTGGCTGTGAGGCAGGGGTGGAGCACGCCAAGCGTTATCTCCTGGTGATTTAAATCCCAGGCAGCCGTTCCGTTTGGAAATGACACCAGATGGGATTCCAGGGTGCAGCTCAAGGTCATCCAAACACTCTGCACTGCTCTGAACCGGGAGTGTGATCGCCACAAGCACACAAAGACTCAACAGACATTTAACACACTGTCAGACACCAAGGGATCTTCAGGAAAAACACTTCAAACGCTGCTTCCCCTCGAGCGCAAGGACACAAACTGCCCTTGTTTGGAAGCGACAGAGCGGGGAAGGAGTCGCCGGGATTTCATGGGGAAAGTGTATTTGTGCTGTAGGTTTGTTAAATCTGTGATTTATAAGGCAGATGGTTCATGTAATAGCCTGACTCGAGACAAGTCACTCACCTGCAACTGGAGACGAACACTTGCTCCTACAGAGCTATTCCACAATATTCTCTGTGCTGCACGGTGGATAAACCATTCCCAAAACAACCCAGGACCTACAGACCAATCTCACTTAGAACTCCCTTCTTTTTTTTTTTTTTTAGCAGAAACTGCTTATGCTTGAGTGATAATTCTACTTGATGGCGGGATTTAAGGCTTGTTTAAATCAAAAAATGCCACTGGTGAGCAGTGGGTGTCACCCACTCTGTTTTCACCAGGCCCTGCTGCACCGTGAGCTCCAGGTAACACTGTGACCTCCACGGCTGCGGCACCTGAGCCCCATCCCAGCGTTTGACTCCTGCAGGGAATACACCTCTGGAAGGATAAAAAGCGATGTTATGCTCTTCAATGAAAGGTTGGTGATCACTTGTAACAACCTGTTAGGGAGGGGATTGTCCCTCTCTGCTCTGGTGAGACCCCACTGGCAGTGCTGCCTCCAGCTCTGGGGCCTCTGGCACAAGCAGGATGTGGAGCTGCTGGAGCAAATCCAGAGGAAGCCACAGAGATGCTCCGAGGGCTGGAGTCCCTCTGCTCTGGAGCCAGGCTAGGAGAGCTGGAGGTGTTCACCTGGGAAAGAGAAGGCTCCAGGGAGAGCTGAGAGCCCCTTCCAGGGCCTAAAGGGGCTCCAGGAGAGCTGGAGAGGGACTTGGGATAAGAGCCTGGAGAAACAGGACAAGGAGGAATGGCTTCAAACTGCCAGAGCACAGGGTTAGATGGGATATTGGGAAGGAATTCTTCCCTGTGAGGGTGGGGAGGCCCTGGCACAGGTTTCCCAGAGAAGCTGTGGCTGCCCCTGGATCCCTGGAAGTGTCCAAGGCCAGGTTGGACGGGGCTTGGAGCAACCTGGATCATGGAAGGTGTCCCTGCCCATGGCAGGGGCTGGAATGAGATGAGCTTTAAGGTGCCTTCCAACCCACACCATCCTATGAAAAACAACTGGTTTATGCTGCAGTGAGACACGAGAGCTTATCTAACATTTCTTACCCTATTTCAGCTGATCTCTTTGCCACTTCACCCCTTCCCCACCTTCAAATTACCATATTCCAAACACTTCAGCACTACACAGCTCAGATCACCTGGAGCTCCTCTTTGTCCTGCCCAGGATTTCTTGCTTCTCCTTCCCAAAATCAGTATTCCAAAGTGAGGGAAAAGACCACACTAAAGACTAAACCAAACAAGGAAACACTTTCCTCTGTCCTTTTCACCTCAGACCAAGGCAATTATTCTCTCCATTATGACAAAATCAGTAATTCCAATGAAATCCAGTTTTTTGTGGAACAGAAGGTCTAAAAGACTAATGGATTAATGCACTGAGCCATCACATCTGCTGCCATGAACTAATATCCCACTTCCAAAGCTAAGGAAGTGATGTGGGAATGTGTATTTGGGAAAGAACATTTAGCAAAGTGGTTAAGCTCAGCCCAAGCCCCAGATTTCCGTGGAGATCTGTTGAGTGTATTTTTTCACCAAGGAGAGGAACCTTTTATGTATCTTGAGGAAATGGAGAGACCTCAAATCACTTGGAAATTTCAAAATATTTGTTCCTCCAATGACTGCTATGTAAACCCAGTGCAGAGTCTCGCAGAGGAATCGTTCCCTGTGTAGGTCAGGAAAAGGAAAAGGCAAACTCCTGCCCGAGTCTTGCAAGGGACAAAGGCAGATGCAGAAATTGAAGTATATTTTTCATTTTCCTGCCTGCTTCCCCTCGAGCAGCACCGGATTTTTCCAGATGTAGAGAAAAACAGCATTTGCAGATATGTACAAAAGTTTATTTTACAAACAGCGACTACTTTGGAATAACAAAATTGCAAAAAACATAGACCAAAGTTAGAAAACCAGCTCAGGGGGATGTTTTCTACCTGAAGCACAATTGAACAGAATTCACTAAGTGCCCCCAACCCTTCCCTCACCCCCCTCCCCAACCTGATGGAATTTCTTTATAAAGCTTTAATTCAAGATATGAAAGACTTTAGTGGCATTGCAGTAATTTTTGATAACTACAGTTAATTGATTGACCACATTTCTATTACCTTTTCCTGACCTTAAAAACTCAAATCAGCTCTGATATATGACAGAAGTCTGATTGTGGAGCTATTTTTTCCACTAATAAGTATCGAATGGTAACAGTTATATTTGTATATTTTGTTACACATGAGCCCTCTAGTTCTATTTTCTTAGTAAGGGACAAACAAGTTACATTTGTACTGAAAATGATGAAAGTGCAACAAATGTTACTGACATTATTTGTTCAGGACTCTCAGATGGCTCCTGCTGTTAGAAACCTGTCTCTAAATGCATCCTGCCTCGAGTAAGAAATGTATTTAATGTTAAAAGGCATAAGAAGCTTACAAAAGGCTGACTGGAAAGGGTTACATGCACACACTTTGTCACTAAACTACAAGTGTAGGAAGGGGGAAAGTTCAGAATTTTGGGTTCTCATAGAAAAGTGAAAAAACCTCTGTGGCAAATTCAGCTTCAGGAACGTGCACACAAACATCTTATTCAGCTGCTGATGGACAGAAATGGAGGGAATCATCACAGCCTGCAAACTTCCCTTTGAACTTGCTTTTCATGTTTCACAAGTGTATGAAAAAATTATCTAATTTGGGGTAGTTTAATTCAATCAAAGAGAGAATGAATTGATGCCTAAGCGAGAAATAACCACTTTTAATTTTCAAAGCTGTTGGGGCCTGATGAGATCACACACACCAAAAAAAAAAAAAATCATTTCCAGTATTTGAAAACATTTGAGAGAAATGAAAGCATCTCCAGATATTACAGAAAGTCAGTAATGAAAACTATTATGATACAACAGAGCTCGTTAGCTCTAATCAAACAATGTTAAGTCTGTTGTGTCACTACAGACCCCAATTTGCAGGTCACATTGTGCCATTAAAAATCTGGTTCTCAGTACACAACTTTCTAAACCCCTGAAAAACTTCACAAATTATTTTACAGCAACTCAGTCAGAATATTGCAAAACTTACTCAGTGGTCTTCAGCTTAAATCTATTTATTTTTTTGCAAATACCTGGAACATGGAGTCATTTTTGGTAATAAACTTCCAAAGTAAAGTCCATGCTTTTTATCAGGCAACCCAGTATTTTTGTAGTCCCATCATTTCAACAATCTAGAGTTCAGTATCTGCAGTATCAATATCTGATATTCCCTACATGGAACATAGGATGGGATACACCTACAGGCATTTCATAAAGGAACCTCTATAGTTGGTTGTCTCAAAAAATTATCAAAAAGTGTTTTGGACAAACTCATGAGACACTCAATGCTTTAACAACACCCAAAATGTGCTGGAGGATGCCAAGCACTGTAATAGGAACTGAAATGAAAGTCAAGAAGTGTTTGGAAACACTTTTTTAGTCTCCGAAGGACATTGCTGTTTATCACAAAAGTCATTTTTGAAACATAAAAAGTTTAGACAAGTTGGACATTAAGCTCAAAACTCATTCACATCACACTTTTGCTCACTGCTTGTCAGTTTGACAATTCCCACTGCGCATCATCTCACCTTTTCCAGCAGAATTCCTCAACCTCACAGTTCAGGAAGGATTAAGACAGAAGTGGCAGCTTTGTTTTCATCGCCTCTATCCTGTACAGAACGCAACAATCGACACTCAAGACAGCACAGAATGCAGATTCCAGCATTAAAAAAAGCATTTTCAGGAACTAGAAACGGCAGCCTTGGTAAGAAATGGACTTCACAGTTTAATAGTTGCTCACACACATTTCCCAGGAACAGGCACAAAGCCCTCAAGGTGTTTATTTATAAACAGACTCTGTTGCACCCGGAAAAGCGGTGGCAGCAATTCATCTAAGAGTCATCCATGGCTTGGAAAAGCTAATTCGAGGAAACAAAACTGCTGGGTTTTGTTGTGTTTTTTTTTTAATTATCCTGTAAAAGTTGCATTTCACATAAAAAAATTAAAAAAAAATCAACTCAGCTGTGGAGCTCAGTCCTTCTCTCTGTGAGCACAGAGTCGAGCGAGTTCACTGGTAAAGGGGAAAGTTTCAGCGAATTCAGCAGAACAACCTTCACTTGTGACACCGTCAAAACAGTTTGGTTCTGTTGTTTGTTTTTTTTTTTTTTTTTAATATAACACTGAAAAAAATGAGGAAACACAGTTTTCATCCTCCCAGAAGTGTTTTCAGCTGTATCTGCTGCTCTCACTGGGGCTCCTGTTGTTGGAGTAGCTGCGATCGCTTTCGCTGTCGGAGCCGTAGGACCTGCCGAGAAAAAAAGGGTTCAAAAACGCCTCAGAACTGCTTCAGATTTGAGCTTCAAATTTACATCGTGTAAAAAACATTGTTTTTCTTATCCGTGTCCATCTTAACAAACACAAAGTCTTTTACAGGGTGGTGGTTCTTATAACTGAAGAATTCGCTAAAGGATACTCAAAATTGAAATAATAATTGACTTTACGTGGTGTTGCCCTGGATAACCCAAGGAAAGTTCTCTGTAACTTCTTCCTTTTTCTTTTACAGCTAAAAACCATTCGAAATTAATGTTTTTATAAATGCTAATAGCTGACTGAGAAATATATTCTAACACATCTGATTTCATATTGCAAGCATCTCTCAGCTAAGATAAGTTCACAAATCCTTGCTTCATACATGTTGTATTTTCTTGTTTGAAGAAGGATCTTGAAAATTAGGCCCCAGAACCACAAGAACAGAGTGTGTGTGTGTCTCTGCAGTGTGGAAATTGTGTATTAAAATGGTTTGGCTTATCCAGAAGAATCCCAAGCTCAGCACCTGGCCAAACATCAACACAGAGTCCAGATGGTTTCAGACAAGCCACAGGAAATATTCCAATTACACAGAAATAAGCTTTCATTAGAGATTTTTTTAGCCTCCTGCCTGCAAAGGAAGCTTTCAAAATGAAAGGTGAGCGTATCCTAATCCAATATTGCTTCTTTGAAGCTTCTCAACATAATAAGACAATGATTTTCCAAGTTTATTTCCACATTCTTTGTTAATCTAATTAATTTCCCCTCAAACACAACATGGAAGTTGTCTTGTGGAAATGGGTGAGAGCAAAACCTTTAAGAGTTGCTATAAAGTTAGGGGAAAATGAGTATGAGAAGGGCAGAGGATGAAAATTTACAGCAGTTGTAGAGACCTGTATGATTTATGAGTAATAGGGGACATATTAAAAGGTATAAAACCAATCATCAGTGCTATTAAATCTATATCTCTCTATATCTCCTGCTCCACCTCTGATGTCTGTGAAATGTGCTCACTTGCACTTCTGTAAATCCCCTGGACAGAGCAGAATAGAATTTATTCCAGATTCATCAGATTTGCAGGTAAAAATATTCTTTCAAAATACATTCTAGGAAGTTAAAAATTAGGTCTGGATTTCAGTGCAATTTTTTACTTTCCCTTCCAAGCTGTTTTAAATCCATATTTGCAGTTGAAACCAAAAAGAATTTACCATCCAATGGAATTCTTTGCATACCAGGCAGCTTTTAATCCATCACAGGGCATTTGATTTAAATCTTGAGAGTTAGTTCACCGTGTAGCTTTCAAAAATCACTCAATACTATTTAAAAAATCAGAAATCATAGAATCATGAAGGTTGGAAAAGACCTGTAAGACCACCAAGTCCAACTGTTAACCCAGCACCAGCACTGTCTTCTCCATTAAACCATGTCCTCAAGTGCCATTTCCACATGTTTTTTTTAACATTTCCAGGGATGGTGACTGGGAAAATGTGAAAATTTTGAATGCCTTCATACAATGAACTGGAACTCAAATCTTTCTTATCCTACCTCTTCCCCATCCTCATATTTAGCATGTGAGGAGTTCTGCCTTCCTCACTCACACACACGCTCTGATTTTAATTGGTTATAATTATTACATTTTTATGCTTGGGGGAAAAAAACCAGCACATTGGCCTTTCTTCAACATCACAGGTATGTATTTAGCAAATTTTTTCCCCACAAATCCAGTGCCAAACCACACCTGGATCTCCGATCGTAGCTCCGAGACCGTCGGTAGCTGTCGCTCCTTTTACTCCTGCTCCGACTCCTGCTGTAGTAACTGTCGTATGTGTAGGACCTACTTTAAAGGGAAAAGGAGGCAACTGTAAATCTATGATTTCTTGTCTAAAATGCTATTTTATATGCAGGCTCAAATGACATTTACATACAGAGATGAAGGGCTGGCTAGAAACTACTTTTGAAGGCTGCGGCAAACAATTCCGTGCTTTAGAGAAATTTCAACACAACAACAATTATCTTCAAAGCAAAAGTAAAAATGTCAAATTTACTAATCTAGAAAAGACACAATAAGCATCCATAAAGTTTTGTGGTTTCTCTTTTTTGTAGATGCTGTAAAAACGCTGTTTGCTAATTTGAAAACCAGCAAAGTGATTCTGTTTATAACTCAATTTTATTTTAACAAAAAAGGGGGATGTGTTCACTATTTCTCATCTCATATCATCACCTGTAACTGTAATGCTGGGATGATTTGGTTATTTCCAGCTTTCAAGTGCCTTATACTGATTTTGCTTTGATTCAAGCTGTTACAACGATATTATAGTTTTAAGTACCACAGATCCCTGGAAGTGTCCAAGGCCAGGTTGGACGAGGCTTGGAGCAACCTGGGATAGTGGAAAGTGTCCCTGCCCATGGCAGGTGGGTTGGAACTAGATCATCTTTAAGTTCTCTTCCAGCCCAAACCATTCCAGACTCTATGAGATAAAGGCATTCTTAAAAAGTATTCTTATAAATATGTATTTATATATGTATTTATAATATAGTATATATAATCAAATACATAGCATACATTATATAAATTATTCTTATATGTCATGTAATTATATATTAAAATCTGTTTTAAAGAAATATAAATAAAAAGTATTCTGACTTTAAGGCATTTTTATAAGAAGTCCATTTATTGCAGAGTTTGTACACAACTATAATCCATACCTGGATCGACTGTGATGACCGTAAGAACTACTTCTGGATCGGCTTCGGCTGTAGCTTCGACTGACAGAAACAAAACCACAGGAGACATCTTAAGTTAATAAAATACAAGGGAGCAGGGGGAGAGGGGGAGCAAGAGGAGCACAACATGTCTTGCAGTATCTCCAAACAGACAAACTCACCTACGGCTCTTGTAACTGTGGTAAGAACTGCTTCGACTCCTTGAGCGATCTCTGCTGTACCACCCTCTGCTTCTGCTTCTCGAGTAGCTTCTGGACCTACAGTGAACAACAGGACAGAACAGAACTGAAGAGGAAGCAAAAAAAAGTTTTAAATCTTTATCTTTTAAGTTAAGTATTTATTCCACGCTTGCCATTAAGTTGATCACAGGGCTGGAGCACCTCTGAGAGCTGGGAGTGTTCATCCAGGAGAAGAGAAGACTCCAAGGACACCTTGGAGCCCCTTCCAGTGCTTGAAGGGGCTCCAGGAGAGCTGGAGAGGGACTTGGGGCAAGGGATGGAGGGACAGGACAAGGGGGAATGGCTTTAAACTGACAGAGGGTAGGTTTAGATGGGATATTGAGAAGAAATTGTTTACTATGAGGGTGTTGATGCCCTGGCACAGGTTGCCCAGAGAAGCTGGGGCTGCCTCATCCCTGGAAGTGTCCAAGGCCAGGTTGTTCAGGGCTTGGAGCAACTTGGGATAGTGGAAGCTGGATGGAATGACATGGTCCCTTCCAACCCAACCCACTCTATAATTGTGTGACACTGTGCTGTTCAAAAGAAAAACACGAGCTGAGAAAGAAAAACATGCTTTAAAAAGATGAAAACTTCCAAGTTCCCAGGGCAGGCTGTGGGAGCAGCACCAACTTCTTACCTGTATGAATATGTAGAACTTCGAGATCGACTTCTGGAGTGACTGTAGGATATGGACCTTGTTCTGTGTCTGGATTTAGACCCAGATTTACTCCGTGATCTGCTGAGGCTCCTGGATGGACTGTTGTCATCTCTGCTTGGAGATTCCTCCTCACTGGAACTTTCCTGGTTCCTGGGCCGCCGATTGAGCCGGGCTGTTTTCCTGACCTCATCAAACAGAGAGCCAGGCCTTACTTTATTCTTGGCTTTTATTTCAATCCTTAAACCTGCTGGTTTAGGCTCTGGTGCGACTGCCACACTCTTAACCTCCGTGGCTGTACTAATTGCTGCTGGTTGCAAGTTACCAACACCCTGCAAAGGCTTCCATTTATTGTCTATCATATTGCTTTGTGGATTTTCAGTCATTTCACTTTTCAAACCACAGTCTTTAGCACCAGGCAGAGAGTTATTTTCTTGCCTTCCTGTTTCTTTTTCTTCATTAATATGAATCAAGTCTCTAATGTTGTTTCCTAGTTTGACAGCATCTTGCTCAGGGGTCTCAACCTGTAGCTCTTTTTTTATAGCAGCACTTAAAGCCTGGGGTTTAGGAGTGAGAATGACAGGAGACAAAACGTCCACATCCACCTTCCCTGGCGAGTTACGATCCGGAGTACAGATCTCCATGTTGTCATCTGTCTGAATAACGTCCTCCAATCCGTTCTGGTTACTTTCTTCAGCTTGTTTCATCTCATTCTTGCAGGCAGAAACGTTTATTCCTGAGTTTAAAGCACCGGTTGAAGCGTTTGTTTCAATGTTCTCTTTATTAAGGTTGCTGCGATCTGGGGAGGCCTCACCTGTGGTGTTTTTATCTAAAAGGTTTTCACTCCCACACGACTTTTCACCGTTTCCCATTTTATCTGTGACTATTTCATCCTTTTCATAAACTTGTTTTTTATCCTTTATGTCCCTGGTAAGCTGCTTTTCTTTTTTATCATCCTTGGTAACTGGCTTTTCATTTATCTCATCGTCCTCTTCTTCACCAAACTCGAGGGGGGGCTGCCAATGAAACATCTCTTTTCTTTTCTGGACTTTGTGTTTTTTCTCCTTTTTCCCTTTGGATTTTTCTTTTGGCTTTTTGGAATGCGATTTCTTAAGTTGTTTTTTCAACCCATGCTTGTGTTTTTTTGACTTGCCTCGAGTGTCTGCTGAGCTGGAACAGGAACTGTCGGATTCAGAAGAAGACAACTGTTTGTTTGTCTTCCAATCAGAGTCCAAAAAGCCTTCGGAGGAATTGGATTGTTTCTTTATCCTTTTGGTGACACTGAGCTCTGTTTCAGACCCTGAGGTGGCCTCTCCTTCTTCTTTACCAGAGGAGTGTCTGGAATCCCCCCTATTATGCCTTGCCTCTCCTCTTTCGGAATTTGATTCCGAGTCCCATTTGCTGCCTGAGTAGGATTTCCGTTTCGTTTTTGCCCCTTCTCTGGGTTGCTCCAGAGACTTCTCCTTTCCTGCTTTCCTTCTGGAGTGATCAGAATCCCGCTCACACTTGCACTTCTCCTCCCCTCTCTCAGAACTCAAGCTATTTTTATCCTGTTTCTGAGCATCCCCTTCTAATGGAAAACGACTTTCCTTCTCTGGGACCGCTTTTGCTTTGGCGGAGCGCTCGCTGTCGCTGGTGAAGTCTGAGGATGACAAAGTGTCGCTCTCCTTCAATCCTTGGGAAGACTCATCGTAGTCTTTGGGATGTTTGTGAGGCAGGGGACTTTCCGAGCTCGTCTCCTGCCTCAGTTTGGAGCCCCGAGCTTTCTGATCGCTGGACGTGGATTTCCTTTTGTTCCCGTGCCTGTCCTCGTCGCTGAGGGAATAGTAAGACGTGGACTCGCTGTACCCCGACCGGTCACTGCGGTATTTGCTCGGTGACGGGGACCTGCCAGAAGAGCGGGATTTTGTCCTAGAGCTCGATGGACTTCTGGATCTTGTGTAGGATCTGGAGTAGGACCGACTTCGGGAGGACCTGCTCCTGGACCTCGGCCAACTCTCCGAGCTCCTGTCACTGCGGCCTTTGGAATACCCACTCCGATCGCTCTCCGAGCTCCTCTCCCGCTTGCGGTAGGAGGAGGAGGTGTTGGCCTCTTTAACGACCACCAGGCTGTAATTAGTTTGGGTGGGTATTAAATGGGTTGTTTTAGCTTTCATTTCCTGAATTCGCTCATAGGATGGCTTCCATGGTTTCTGCCCAGGTTTCCACCTGGAAGGAGGTGGGCTGTCACTTAAGGGTATCACAGGGAGGTTTTCTGGGACAACTGGTGGGACGACAACTTTGTCACTGGGCAGAAGAACTGCTCGGACGGGCTCGGCTGCCTTGGTCAACTTACTGTCATTTAATCGGGTTGAAATATTCCGTGGAGAACTGGGAACAGTCTTTTGCTGCCTGGGGTTAGAACTGGACCTCGACCTACTTCGAGAACGTGATGATTTAGAGGCTGATCTCGATCTAGAACTTCTTCGGGAGTAAGACCTTGATTTAGACCTGGATCTGGATCTGGACCTGGACCTGTAGTAAGAGCGAGACCCTCTGCTTGATAAAGATGATGAGCTCTGATCTTCCTTATCAGACTTGGACCAGTCCCTTCTGGATGAACGCCTAGAAGACAAGGAAGAAGAACGAGATTTCCTCTCACGATCACAAGATGACTTTGTCCTCCTGTGGAAGGAATGAGAAGATTCCACGTCTGATGAGGCCGAGGCTTTCTTTTTTTTCGTTTGCTTGTGCTTCTTGAAATGCTTCTGCTTTTTAGACTTCTTTTTATGCTTCACCTTCTTCTTCTCTTTCCTGTGCTTCTTGTGATGGCTGGAGTATCTCGTGGTGTTTAGATCAGCATAACCATTATGGGACCAGGACCTGGATCTCCGGGATGCACTTCTTTCATCCCATCTGCTTGTACATGGGTCACTCAACCTGGACAACAAAGCAGAAAGCCCCACCCTGAGTGGAAATTCTTTTAAAGCTTCAGATAAATTAAGTATTTTTAAACTTGATTTTAAATCAAGATATAAGAACCTGACACACCCACACACTTTACTACCAGGCAATTATGTTCTGAGTGAGCTTCTTACACTCATTTTAAGAATTACATCACTACAAAGAGCTACTTCTCTCTAAGAAATAAATCAGCCAACATCAGCAAATTTTGCATATTGTAGAACCCGTGTGAAGAGATTTAATGTTTTAATTACCCTAGTCTCCAGGACTTTGACCTCTACAACTGCAGGATTCTCAAACCACTTTTACATATTAGCATTATTAAATATTAAATATTACTATTATTGCTAACATTAACATTGTTGTTATATTATTAGATATTACGTGTTACAACTGTGTAAAAAAACCCCAGACTATAAAATTTATGATAAGGATCTTACTTATCTCCTTTGCTCCACTTCTCCCCACTGGGAGGTCGGTAGGTCCTCAGTCTCTGCATCTCCTCTTTCCAGTGAGGAGGGGTCTCACTGCTCTCGTCATCCTCGGATTCGGAACACGACCGGGATCGAGGGGGAGTGTGGTATCGCTGTGAAAGCACACAAAAAAAACACATTATGCAACTTTCTTACACAGTAAACTGTGTCTTTTCATACCCAGGGTGTTTTGCAAAGCCTGAGGGGGGCCAGAAGCTCACCCTTTTTTCCTAAACATAAAAGGAAGGATGAAGGAAGAGGCCATGGAGTCCCAATTACTGCAGATAACTACCTTTTTTATCAGGATGTTAAAGCACAGATGTTTCACTTCAGTTAGCAGACACTTAACTGCTCATATGAGCAAAGACAAGCCCTATTCCAAAGTTACTGCTGTTCAGCTCTGCAGAAATGAGAATCCAGTTTAAAACACCTTCCAAGCAACAAAAAATAGAAAACCAAACAAAAAAAAATAAACCATTAAAACTCCCCAAAACTCTTTCACAAAAAAGAATAAAGAAGCTTCGTATTTAAAGAATTATGCTTAGGAATGGCATAAGAGCTACTTGTGCAGCAGAGAAAAAAACCTCTAATACAGTAAATTGTTATTTTCCACTACCCAGTTGGATACACGCTCAGGTAAACTCTGTGAGGAAATCAGATGCTCCTTGACTCAATAAAAAACACATCTGGATTTCACTCAATTATTTTGAGTCACTTTTGAAAGCAAAAGCAGAGGAAAAAAAAAAGTGTTGTCCCCCAGAATAAAATCAGAAAGATGCATGTGTTGATTTATTCAGTTAATTACAAAAGTTTTTAAGATACCCTGTTTAAATAAAAAAAATATAAGGATAACCTCCATATAGAGCTAATTTGGGCTGAAGGAATGACTACTTAAAAAGCTTTTACAGACGACTGGCACATAACAGGTTGTGAAGGTATCATGGATCTTTCTAATTTTCAAATAGTCTATTCAGGAGTATCCTGGAACCTACAAATAACTCTTTTGCAAAATATCAAACAACTTCACCCCAAAGAGAAACCGTCCTCATTCTTCATTTTTTTTCAAGAGGGTGTTAAAATGATGAAAAACATCAGAGAAACGCCAAAACCTGGCAAAAGCCAATTCCACTCAGCTTTGAGTTACTTTTCCCTGAATTTTTATTTACATGAATACGCAAACCCATTCTGTTTTAAAGGCTTTAGTGGATCCCACCAGTGTCAAATACAAACACGAGCTGTCAGATGCAAAGGCAGCTGCCACATTTCACGTCCAGGCTGGAAAATTCGGGTTGAGGCTCAACCACTCCACCACCTTGGTCCGTGCTATGGCATCCAAGCTGTTCATTTTGTGGCTTCAAATAATTGTATCATGGGGGATCATGGTGGAAAAGCACTTCCCAAATCTAGTGGCTGTTACATAAGAAAAATCACACTCAGAGGAGTCTCAGTTTAAACCACCCTAATGAAGCTTTTCATTAGAATAATTATAGATATATTGATATCTGTATATAAACTGTTCTTTTTGAGAACTTCCACTTGCAAAAACATTTGGCAGGACCAAGGTTGTGTTTGGCTTTATGGTTCCCCAAATGCCACCTGCTAAACTGATCCAGGAAAAGATTCTCCAGGGGAAGAATATGCTGCAATCCAATAGAATCAAATGCACAATTACAGCAGCTTCTCTAACTTTCTCCCCCTCGTACTGAGTGAAAAACAACAGCACAGCTGTGCAGCGTTTTGGGCCTGGATTGTGAGTTATTAGAGAAGAAAAACTGTTGAATTATATATCAGAAAGGGCTGCAGACACTCAGGACACTGCTGAGCAGTATCTTATGTGTTGCAGTCCTAATGCTCAGAGAAAACACAAGGAAATCCAATGAATAGGGAAGAGGAAAAGCTCTTGTCACTTCTCATTGCTTTGGATCTTGTGGCTTGCGTGGGATGAATCTGCCTGAATTAGTTTCCATCTTTTAAAAGAAATAATTTCATTCTTATGTTTGGAGACTTCTTGTGGCTGAGAATTAAGCCTTTGTTTTTTCCCAAACTTTAAGAGAGTAACAAGAAGGAATGAAAACCTGCATCACAAAATCAGCTACCTGACAATATTTCAACCTCCTAAACTAGAATGCAAATAAATACATGTGAATAAACACGTAAATAAAGCATCCTACAAAGCCTCCAAGGAAAGTCAAAGCTCAAGGTCAGAGAAGATACTCTGGGTGAGAGAAAAGAAACAGATAAATAAATAAAACTGTCACATACTATTGTGCCTCTTCCTTTAATTTTTCGTCCGGATTTAGAGACTGATGGTTTCTGGTCAGTCAGAACTGGAGTGGCATCAAGAAGCTTCCTACATAAATTAATAAAATATGAGCTTGCATGGAAAAAAAACCCAGTTAACTTAACCTAATTTTAAGTTAATAATGAAAAATATTCATCATCTTATTCATTCATTTTGAGGCAGAACTAAGAATTCAGCGAATTTTCCAAGAAATGAGACAATTTTGCAACAAAAGGCAAATCAACATGTATTTGTTTTCAAGCAAATAGGCAGCCTGATGTCTTTACACATAAATAAATGCTAACAAAGGACTTGCAAAATCCTGTTACAAGAGGTTAATTTGTGTTTGGGGCAGAAATCCTGAGGGCAACCTGGGCAGAAGAGGTTGAGGATCTCAGTTCAGGAGAGCTCACAGGTTCTAAAGTCTTCTTGCTTAGGAAAGAAGAGGGAATTCAATCCTCCTTTTTACAGTTTGTGTAATATCCTCAAAAGAAATAGTTGCTAAATCTTTGGAAATATGAGTGATGTTCCAAGAAAAGACTTACAGGAGACTAAGCCATTAACTGAAACTAAAACAAACAAACAAAAAACCCCAACAAACCCCCATGTCCTGCAAACACAAACCAAAACCAAACAAAAAACACCTCAAAAAACTCCCCCCCCCCAAAACCCCCAAAAACAAACAAAAAACCCCAACAAACCCCCATGTCCTGCAAACACAAACCAAAACCAAACAAAAAACACCTCAAAAAACTCCCCCCCCCC